GTTCTTGACATCCTTTACGATCGGTTACGATGCCTAGAGTACGGAGACCTGTACGATTTTGTCAACTTAGTGACTTTGATAGGGGCCGTATAGTGGGACTTCGGGAAGCTGGACTTTCTTTTCGGGCAATTGCAGTTAGACTGCAAAGAAGTGTAGACACTGTGGTTAGGTGTTGTCAGGCATGGCTTCGAGAAGGCCGTAAGCAAAGAGCACTGGACGCCGCCGTAGAACAACAGACCGTGAAGAAAGCCGCCTAAGATTATTGGATTTAAGGGACCGTTTCTCCACTACCAGGTCCATTGCAAATGAATGGTTTGCAGAACACGGAAGACGTATTGCATGCGAAGTGTTTAACGACGAATTAGAAGTTTTGACTTGTTTTTATACCGGCCACACTAGGTCCTCCCTTCACCTCGAGAACACCGACGTAATCGCCTTGAGTGGTGCAGACAACGGTCACTCTGGGATCAGGAGTGGAACAGTATTGTCTTTAGTGACGAGTCTCGATTTTGTTTAGGCATGCACGATGGTCGTGCCAGGGTTAGAAGGCGATGTGGTGAAAGGAGGAATCCACAATTTTTTGTAGAAAGTCATGTTCATCACACTGTTGGAGTTATGGTTTGGGGTGCTGTAGCTTATGGTTCCAGGTCACCTTTGATCTTCATCAGAGGTAACATGAACGCGCAGCGTTATATCCACGAAGTTCTAGAACCCCATCTTTTACCCTATCTTGACACCCTGGCAGATCCAACTGTCCAACAAGATAATGCCCGACCACATGTTGCAAGAGTCACAATACACTTCTTTCAACATAATGATGTCACATTGTTACCATGGCCACCAAGATCTCCCGACTTATCCCCAATTGAGCACGTGTGGGATATGATGGGTAGGAGATTGCTCAATTTGCAACGTCCTCCTCAGACTCTAGAAGCACTTCGAGAGGAGTTGGTGGTTGCCTGGAATGAGATACCACAGGAGGACATTGACCACCTGATCAGAAGCATGCCTAGGCGCGTTGGAGAATGCGTATCACATCAGGGTGCATCCACACATTATTAAAGGTCAAAGGGCTTTAAGGCAGTGCAATCATTTTGAAATTTGTATCATTTACTTATTATGCTTCATTAAGTACTCATACAAAATTTTATTAAAATAAAACCATTTAAACTGGGTATTCGGATTTATATGTCACCTAGTATATATTCAAAAGAATCGATCCAAGTACAGTACCCTGTGGAGCTCCATGCTGAACCGTCTTTGCTCCACTTAAAACGTCCGCAATCTTGACACACTGAATCCTATGCATTAAATAATCTCTGAATACATTTAACACAGCACCCCTAACTCGATGTCCCACCAGTGATTGGAGGAGCAAGAGGAGTCAAATGCCTTTGCTAAATCCAAAAACAAAGCGATGTACTTATCACCGTTATTTAAATGACACATTATTTTAGACAATAATTTGTAAACCGCATGTAATGTGCTTAAACCTTGCCTAAAACCAGACTGATTCTCAGATAACAGCTTATTTGAGTCCAAGAATGTAACCTTAAGGCATTTTTCAAATATCTTTGCTAAATTTGAGATTATACGTATTGGTCTATAGTTATTTATATATTCTTTATCTCCCGCTTTGTGAATAGGTGTTACAGCCGATGTTTTAAATTGTTTAGGTACTTTTGCCGTTTTGAAAATCAGATTGGTTATATGAGCTAAGGGATCCAAGAGATATACATGTAGTTGTTTGATTATTTTAGTCGTTAATTTATCTAATCCTTTAGAGCAACTATTTTTTTTATTTTATTATATGTTCAATAATTTCATTACTGTTGGTCGGTTTTAAATACATTGAATACGAAGGGCTATTTATAAATTGAAAAGGTGTGGGAGGGTTCCCAATTTTATCTGACATCTCTCTGCCAATATTTGGAACAAAGTTATTTGCAAAATCAGCAATTTATGTTTTTATCAATAATCATGTAATTTTTTTCATCCTTCAGGTAAGTTACGAGGGATGTCTTTTAAGTTTTGCATATAGAACCTCCCCCCGTAGGGGACATTCTGTTTGGCTTTCATTTGTTACCACTTAAACTAGTTTATAAACTTTTTTGACATCATGTGAGCTTTGATTAAATTTACTTTTATAGTACTCATTTTTTGTAAATCTTATTATCTTATTAACACGATTTCTATATTCTTTGTATTACGATATCTCTGCTGGAGACGGTTTAAGCTTTTTATAATTATTCAGGGTGTTTTTAACAAATTCTGACTTTTCTATAATATTACTTAATTTTTTAAAGAGGTAATTGGTTGCTTCTTCTGATTGATCAAAAACCAAACTGTAGTTCCAGTCCACCTCAGATGCTAAGTGCTTCAATTTATTCATATCGATACATTTAAAGACATTTCGACAGTTAGATGCTCTAGAGAATTGATTCCCAAAGTGGTCTATATCGACCCCTAGGGGTCTGTGACAACTTGCAAGGGGCCTACGTCAGCGAAAAAAAAATTGGGGGTCCATGAAATGAATATGGGGGTCCACGATAGTGGATCTCAACACATACACTGATAGTACCTATTTACTTACATCCTACTATCTTATAATATCAAAACGTATACATTATTTATAAAAGTACATATGAAGTAAAAAATTTATTATATATGTTTATAAAATTGTGTAAGTTGTAGGATGTTGGTATTCGCTTTGTGGTCGCAATACATTTTGAACTTGTAAAAACCTGAGAGTCGCAGTCTCAGAGCTTCGCTATCTTGCACTGACTTGTTCAATTCGTCACTCTATAAATACGAATGTGGGACAAATACGTTTATTCGTTTCCTGAATCTTGAAAAGGAAAGTGCTAAGAAAATATTTAAAAAAATTATAAACAGATATATATCACACAAATTATAGTGAGTCAGTGTTATTTTGTTTGAGAGTGCTGGAGAAAAGCAAGTACATTATTTTTTAATAAATTTTAGTTTTGTACTCGTAGTTAGCAAAGATAGATAAATTACGCCAATCATGGCTTTAGTTATCAGTAGTTAAATACTCAGTCATTCAAAATTACACGAGTACTCCTCAATACTTTCTTTTTGAAAGTTTTAGCAATCGGTAATATAATTGCAGTGCAATCTCCGTAATTCGAGCTAATTGTTGCAAGAAGATGTTCGAATTATGGAATGTTTTCGGAAAAATCAAAAAATATTTTTAATATACAGGCTGGGTTTTCTGTCTTATGCTGCTGGATTTTCTGTCTTATTTAAATAATTTAATTTTTCCCACAGATGACTGATGCCATGTCAGAATCTAAAAAGAGATGTAGACAGTACAGTGTTGATTATTTGAAATTTGGCTTCATTCCATCATTGCCGGACAAACAATCGCGTATGTGCCTTTTATGCAACAAAGTTTTGGGCAATGACGCTATGAAACCATCTAAACTGTAAGATCATCTCAGAAGATGCCACCCTGATAAAACAGAGAAAGATTTGAAATACTTTCAAACACTCCAAGATAAATTTCAGAAGAGACCTACATTGGACAGAATGTTCGCTTCGACGTCACAAAGCAATGATGATGGTTTGCGGGCGTCTTACAATATCTCGTTACTTATAGCAAAATCCGGAAAACTGCATACTATCGGAGAGAAGTTAATTTTGCCAGCCGTTGAAGAGGTTTTAAGAACTGTTTTACGCAAACCTGCATCTGATATCATTAAAAGAATTCCCTTAAGCAACAATACTGTTGAAAGACGTATTGATGAAATGAGTTCTGATATTGAAAGCTTCTTATGTAATTATTTGCAAACGACCCATTTCTCTATACAACTGAACGAGTCAACTTTACCTGTTAATGCAGCATTATTATTGGCATATGTTCGTTTTATTATGAATCAAGAAATCTAGGAAGAACTGCTCTTCGCAAGAACTTTGATAACCGACACTAAAGGTGAATCAATATTTCATGTTTTGAAGGATTACTTCATTAAAAAAGCAATTCCTTTATCAAATATAATATCAGTAGCTACAGATGGAGCACCTGCCATGGTTGGACGTTATCGTGGATTTATAAGCTATTTAAAACAAAATGTGTCAGGGGTGTTAGCAATACATTGGGTCATCCATCGACAACATTTAGTTGCTAAAAATTTGAGTGTTAGATTGCATGAATCACTTCATTTAGTCATTGATGCAGTAAACTGAATCCGAAGCAACGCGTTGAATACGCGGTTATTTGCGCAGTTGTGTGAAGAAAATGACGAACACTTTCATAAATTACTCCTTCACACTGAAGTACGCTGGCTGTCGAAAGGCTTATGTTTGACAAGATTTTTTGCACTTTTTAAGACTATTTTAGAATTTCTGGTTACTAAAGATAAAATTTTAAAAGAAAATTTAATGAAGAGGAAAACAGACCGCCTATTTAACAGATTTGTTTACAAAATTTAATATGGTTAATTTGCAATTACAAGGCGACAGTTTAAATTTGATTAAAACAAAGTCCATCTTATCAGCGTTTCTTGCCAGAGTTAAACTAATGAAGCAAAATATTGGACGGGGCGAATTTTCTCAGTTCCCCAATTTGTCACAGATAAGCTGCCAGGAAGACGACGTTTCAACTTACGTTCAACATTTAAATGCCCTCTATTCAGATTTTGAATCTAGGTTTGAGGATATTTTGACTATGGTAATACCACCGTGGATAATTAATCCATATGGTGACATAGAAGAAACGAATGTCATAATACAAGAGGAACTGACTGAACTACGTAAAAACGAAGAACATACCCGTTACTTATCCCGTATTATGGAATATAGCGAGGAAATTTTTAATTTCCTTTCCATCGTCATACCTAGTGGAAAGGGGGTTCAGCGCTATTACCAATCTCCTAACGAAAAAAAGAAACAGACTGGACATCATTAGCCGAGGAGATTTACGATTGACCCTTACAAAATTGACGCCAAATGTTGATAATTTATTATTAAAGCGTCAGGTTCATCCTTCTCACTAAAAATATTGACTTATTGCTTATGTTATTTTATTTATAGTTTATTTTATGTTTATTGGTGTCTGACCAATAAACGCCCGCATTGGGAATAAGTGCCCGCATTGATTTTTTTAAAGAACCCCCCTTTATAGAAAATATTTTTTTTTAAAATTATTCTGAAAATTCAAGGATAGGTACACACGAAAATTCGTTAATATTTTGCCTATTTTTAGATAACTAAAACGCATAAGAAGCGGAATTTAATCAAACTAACAGTGAAATTATTGTAGAACATACGTTTATGTTATAATTAATAAACGAACTCGCTTATTGTACTATTTTAAGTAAAAAACTTTTGTTTTATTATTTTTCACCTTTTTTATTTTATCTCTCTTATTTTTTTTCAATGCGGACACTTATTCCCAATGCGGGCACTTATTAGTCAGACACCTGTTTATTTAATGTTACGTATATTTTACATAACAGATACAAAATTTTATTTTGAGTAGTTTTAATTTAAATTCAATTAATAAATGTATCGATTAACATGTGTTTTTACTTTAAAAACTTCACTACAGTTAGAAATTTACAGGAAATCAATATCAGGTAAGTAGGGGGTCTACCCAAACGGAAAAACATGGCAAGGGGTCTACGACACAAAAAAGTTTGGGGAGCTCTGCTCTAGAGTTAACAGTGAAGTCATCTGAAACATGAAGCATAAGCTATCTATTTTTTCTTAACGTGTTACTTATTTTTGAAGATTTGCTGTTTAAAATTAATGTAAAATTACATGTATTACTGAACAGTACATCCAATCTAGGTACATATACCGTACGGCAAGATAACAATAAAATTGAATAAGTTGCCATCATTCTCTCACTTCGCAGTTTATCAGAATCGTAAGGACAATGCGTCCCATTAGAGCAACAAATTATTATTAAACTATTTTTTGTTGAAAGGCGTACCGTTACTCAGTGGTATTGTTATAATAAGACGCAAAACAAGACCCCCTGATCCGATTCTCAGAATAAATCTCAACATCGTCCGACATCTTTTTTAGTTTGTTTTAAATTAATTAGCCGGCATATACTACTAGGGTTACCGTTACCTGACACGGTCGGAAATATATCATTATGTAAGTTGAACTTGACCTGCGGTGTCAACGTTTTTCGTGTCAGCAGCAGTTTTGATGAATTTGTGTAAGCACAGTGCCGTAATTTGTAACAATTATGGTTTATGCAACTTTTATAGGTTGACGGGCATCCGCAGAAATTTATCTCAAAGGGGCCGATCATTGTCAACAGATATTTTTTTGTAAGTGTACCTGTCCTAAGATCTGTTTGAAGAGCGTGGTGAGGAGGAGGTAGCAAATTTTGTCAGGGGAGCAGGGGAGTACCCATTTCTAGGCCAAACCTTTTGGTAAATTTCATAGTTTATTGATTGTTGAATTTCTCACGAATTATATCTGTCATGACAAAAAACGCATCACTACGAGGTCTGTAAATTAAGTGATGAGATTGATTTTTTTTATTTTTTTATTTCAAATATAATTACAATCTTATATTGTCAAACCCTGAAAATAACTTCCTTCTGAAGCCACACAGCGCTCATAGCAGAGCTGGAATTCTGATACTGGAATAGCCTTCAGCTGATATGTTACAGCAGCAAAATTAAAGAACAAACCACATTGGTCCGCCATCTTGGCTCTACAATCATGTGGCCACAAAAATTCTTAAGCAGTAGAGTAAGAAATGTAGCTCATCTTATCAATCTGTGTCTTGAGAAAGGGCTACTTTCCTAAATCGAGCAATAGTAAGGCCAATAAGGTCAGGAAGCCCACCGATTTCTCAGATCTTAGGTCCATCAGTCTTTTGAGTGTTTTGTCAAAGATCTTGGAGAAAATCATTTATTTGCAAATCTTAGATTTTTTAAGAGTCAAGTGACATACTCCCAGTACATCAATCTGGGTTTAGAAAATCATACAGTACTACAACTGCTCTTCTTAATTTAGTGGACAACATCATCAGGGCCCTTGATAAAAAAATGTGTGTCGCCTTAGTTTCACTGGATTTCTCCAAGGCCTTTGATAGAAATGATCACGCACTGATGTGTGCTAAGCTAAAATTTTATGGTTTTGATAAAATAGCACTGCAGTTTTTTGAATCATACCTAACCCATCGTTCTCAGCGCGTCTCACTTTCTGGAGTTTTGTCAAATGAGCACTTTATCACTTCGGGTGTGCCTCACGGCTCAATTTTAGGACCCTTGATATTTTTAATTTATGTAGCCGATATTGCTAAGTCCATTCAAAATTCACAGCTACAGTCTTATGCGGATGACACTCAACTGCTTTACTTCTTTTATCCTGAGAACCTCCAGACTGCTACTATGGAAATTAACGAGGACATTGACTCTGTTTGCACCTACTCAGCCAATAACAGCCTAACCGTTAATGCTGCTGTGCTGTTTTGTACAAATCACAGAAGAGCCGAAGTCAAAGCTACTTATCTCTGGAACTCCAATTTATTTACGTGAAAAACTAATTTTTAGGTATAATGTTCATCAACGACGTATCCGTAACACGTTCGCTTTAACAATGTCACTTCATAATTCATCTGTTTTTAACAGGTCCTTCTCATATAGTGTATGCATGTTGTACAATAACTTAGATTACAGAACAAAAAGCCTGCCGCTGTATAGTTTTAAAAAACACTTAAGAGCTCTTCTGCTCAATGGTGATTCTTAAAGGTGTTTTTCTCCAGCATTATATTTTTAAGCTAATTTTTATTTAGGTTGTAATCAGTTACATGGGCATTTTCCTCCTTTTATTTTCTTTACAGCTGTACTTTTTTACCATCTATTATTCTTATGCAGTTAATGGTTAAGTGTAAGATAGCTGAAATAGCTAAACTTCGCCATTAGCTGCTCACTAATCTAATTATAGATAATAATATATGCATTATCTGTAATTTGTTTTTTCTAATAAAATTAATATTATTATTATATCTTCATGAGTCTCCCGGTAAAAAAATAATAGTTGAATTACTTTCGGTGCTTAGATTGTTTCATATCAAACAAAGAGACAAGGTGCAGCTTACGATGAGTAGTTTTTTGAACCTTTATATAGTTTTATAATGACTTACGTGTAAGAATAATCTGGGAAAGTTCATAAGAAGGATGCAATTATTGATATTATCTAAAGTGTGTGAAACGTTCCTTTATGAATAAGATTGTATGCTCTTATTATGAATTTTGTTGGGGCTCTGCATGCGATGTGATATTCACACAACTGGAATGCAGCTGGTTGATGAATATGGATATACATGAATCATTATATAAGATGTCTCACGTCTTCGAGCAAAATCTAAATGCAGTTATAACATATTGTGTGAAAATTGTAGAATTCTGCTCAAGATCTGATACAAACTATTATGTCTAACCAGTTTGTAAAATGCATCTATACTTTATGTCACATATACATTTGTTTATGCAAAGTAAGATTTAGATTCCTGCAATGTGCATCAAAAATTACCTTTTTGTCCTTTTTTATATACTAAGTGACATATAAACCCAAACACCCAGTTTAAATGGTTTTATTTTAATAAAAGTTGGTGAATGTATTTATCTTACTGTAAATAACAAGTGAAAAAATTTTCAGCCTTATCAGTTGGACATTCCGGTTTTTATACTGCTTTTTTTTAATTCACTAACGCTCTAAAAATGAATATTTCAGCCGCAGTAAAGAATCAACGTTGGCGGATTTTGGTTCTTGACATCCTTTACGATCGGTTACGATGCCTAGAGTACGGAGACCTGTACGATTACGTCAACTTAGTGAGTTTGATAGGGGCCTTATAGTGGGACTTCGGGAAGCTGGACTTTCTTTTCGGGCAATTGCAGTTAGAGTGCAAATAAGTGTAGACACTGTGGTTAGGTGTTGTCAGGCATGGCTTCGAGAAGGCCGTACGCAAAGAGCAAGGGGCACTGGACGCCGCCGTAGAACAACAGACCGTGAAGATCGCCGCCTAAGATTATTGGCCTTAAGGGACCGTTTCTCCACTACCAGGTGCATTGCAAATTAATGGTTTGCAGAACACGGAAGACCTATTGGCATGCGAAGTGTTTGCCGACGAATGAGAAGTTTTGGCTTGTTTTCATACCGGCCACACTGGGTCCTCCCTTTAACTCGAGAACACTGACGTAATCGCCTTGAGTGGTGCAGACAACGGTCACTCTGGGATCAGGAATGGAACAGTATTGTCTTTAGTGACGAGTCTCGATTTTGTTTAGGCATGCACGATGGTCGTGCCAGGGTTAGAAGGCGACGTGGTGAAAGGAGGAATCCACACTTTTTTGTTAAAAGACATGTTCATCACACTGTTGGAGTTAAGGTTTGGGGTGCTATAGCTTATGGTTCCAGGTCACCTTTAATCTTCATCAGAGGTAACATGAACGCGCAGCGTTATATCCACGAAGTTCTAGAACCCCATCTTTTACCCTATCTTGACACCCTGGCAGATCCAACTTTCCAACAAGATAATGCCCGACCACATGTTGCAAGAGTCACAATAGACTTCTTTCACTATAATGATGTCACATTGTTACCATGGCCACTAAGATCTCCCGACTTATCTCCAATTGAGCACGTGTGGGATATGATGGGTAGGAGATTGCTCAATTTGCAACATCCTCCTCAGACTCTAGAAGCACTTCGAGAGGAGTTGGTGGTTGCCTGGAATGAGATACCACAGGAGGACATTGACCACCTGATCAGAAGCATGCCTAGGCGCGTTGGAGAATGCGTAGCACATCAGGGTGCATCCACACATTATTAAAGGTCAAAGGGCTTTAAAGCAGTGCAGTCATTTTGAAATTTTTATCATTTACTTATTATGCTTCATTAAGTACTTATACAAAATTTTATTAAAATAAAACCATTTAAACTGGGTGTTCGGATTTATATGTCACTTAGTATAGAAGCATATCCTTTAGTTTTTAAGCAAATGCTTCTTTTTATAAATAAGAAAACGTTAAAACCCTTTTACTTTACAGAAGCGAGACGTTTTCCTTCACTTCTTTTTATGCATACACTTTGAAGGAATTGCTTCATTTTTTGAAAGCAAAAGGTAAAACTTTTTATATAAATATGGACTAATGTTCACTATCCGAAGATTGTCACAAATGTAACTGACAGCAAATTAAATTCTTTCTTTCCCTTAGCAACAAATAACTAAACAGGTATAACAATAAATACAGTTCGCCTAGGGTATCTGTGTTGATGAAAAGAATGTGACAAAATACGGGTTGTTACCACGTCTATTCTTCCGAAATGCCGTTTATGCTGTTTATTACAAGATGAACAGACCGACAGACATACAGATTGGAAAACAGATAGGCTGACGGAAATGAGTGACCTGTACTATGAAAACCTTTAAGATATTCCTAATGCACAAGTTTCAAAAATATTTATATCAAAACAGTTTAAGCTAAAACAGTGCGGTCAGCCAATCTCGTTGACACCGTTCTTT